TGAGATTGCCTGGATATTAACCTTTGCTCTAATAGGCTTACTATGTGGCCTTAGGCCTCTCCAGGCCTAATTTTTTAAATGGGTTTAATAGTTATTATATTTTACACAATCATGGTTAAGATGATATGTGATAACAGGGTCAAGTGCACAGCCCTGGCCTCGGGAATGCCGCTCCCCCTTCACGAGCATTGGCCTGCGCGTGGCACCTACACGCTCGATGACGTGGCCTAAAGCTCACGCAGCTGAGGCCTTGGCAGGTATGTGGGAATCCAGCGTCAGGCCGAGCCATAACCTTGGCTGAGGAGAGCAGTGAGCTCCCTCACAGCAGGAACCGTCTCATCTTTTGTTGGGCGCCAGAAACAGCTGACTCAAATGGAAGTGTCTTTCCCTAATGGTGAGGGTTGATAAATACATTACCAATCACTTCAGTTATCAGTACCAGGATGTATAAGCCACCAAGTTTCAGGGAACTTGAATTTTGCAAGTGACTGGAACCAGTCTTTCATCAAGTTCACATGATCGATCTAATCCGGGCTCGGAGGGACACAATACTTCGGGGGAAATGGGGGGAAGTGTTTCTGACTTGTTTGGGAGGGAGCTCCACATATCCCTGACTCTTCAGAGCAGCTTAAAACACCTGAAGGCAAAGCCCAGAATAGAATCCTTTTATAATAAGGGTCTCCCTCAAACCAGAAAGAGAGCTCCTTAAAATATTGGAAGACCTTACCAGCTTACTCAACCCCAGTTTACGATGATCTAGAGTTGACACAACTTGGAAGTCACCAGGAAGAGACCACTGAGTCCCACTGTACCCAAGGAAAGGGTAAGCAACCCAAGGGCGGGGTGCAGGTTGTCACCCTTACTCCAGGACTATGGCGAACAGCCTGGTAGAATCTACGAAAGGCCACTCTGAGGCTCTGGGGCCTGTCAGAGGGCCAGAGAGTGCCCAGTTTGAGGCCCGTGGGTGAGCCTCACAGGCTTCACTCCTCAGGGAAAAGGCAGCTTTGCGAGTCCTGCCTTCATCCCCCTGCCCTTCCCTGGGGAGCAGAAAGCATCCAGGGCCTGGGGGCAGCAGGGGCTGGTTCATGTTCCCCAACCCTCCCCACCTCGCCTGCAACCTGGATGCTCCACTTTAGTCTGAGACCAATTCTTCCCTCTCTGATCTTTAAAATGAAAACTATTTGTCTCAGTGCAAAGTCTTATATTAGCTATAATACTTGCAACAATAAAGATAAATTTTTAAAAAAAGTTTTATAGTAACCTTCTATGAACTCCAATAATAAGGAAATGTGAAGAACAGGAATTTCCTATAATGCATCCTCCCCTCTCTCCAAGACAGTCTAAAGTTAACAGTTTAAACGTTCCTCCAGGGCTCTCCATCTCCATATCTGTATATATCCATGCATACGTAGCTAGTGGAATATAAATACAAATATATATTTTCTATTGTAAAAATGTCATTTTACAACATACGTGGTTCTCAATATGCTTTTTTATTTAATACAATAGGTCTTCAATAAATACTTATTGTATGATGGGCCATAATTTATTTATTCAATCCCCTACTAGTGAACTTTTGAGTTGTGTCCAAACGCCCTTCCAATAAACATAGTTATATATATAAATGACATAATTGAAGTAGATGCATGTAATACATATAGAACATAAGCTTACCTGCGTGTCATAAACACACACATAAATACGCTAACAAACTATCACATTGGGAACAAGTGTCTCAGGTGCCCTCTGGCGTATTTCATGATGTCCCTGGAATATACGCTGATAAATTCGCCTTAAAAAGAAAACTTTCAGCCAAGTGTTTTAGGACCTCTGGGATAAAGAGTGACTGTCCCACATTTGTTCCTGGTATTTTTATATTGATTTTAAATCCTTGGCAGGACAGCTTGACTAAGATAAGAGCCAGAACCCAATAGTGATCACAAAGGGCAGCAGTGGATTTTGGATAGAACAGAAAATAATCTTCCTGAAATTCCTTTTGGAATAAGAGGGAAAGAATGATTGGGGGTGGGAGGGAAGGAAAAGGAGAATGCTTTCTCCTGGTGGTTAGTTGGACTATTGTCTGATTTTACAGTGTAGCAATTGTAGGCCTTTCAATGGACATAATACTGTGACAGATTTTCCTTCCTTCCTTGTTCCTGGGGCTGAACACGCAGGGGTTTACTTTCTGCCGCCAGGCTGGGGGCTGGGCCCCTGGATTAGTCCTTGGAAGCCCAGAGTACCCCACGGCCACAGAATGAGCGTGTGCACAGCCCTGGGCATTGTCGTGTTTGCTGACATCTACCACCCGTGCCAGGGGCATGTGAGGGCTGGCGGGGAGGTGGGTGCTGCATCTGACTGAGGGCAGTGGCCCAGGACTGCCAGGGGTGGCAGCCCGGCCCTCAACCAGGGCCCAAGGACAGTCACACCAGCCCCCAGATGAAGACACTGACTGTCATGGTGGCTTCACTCGGACAAGAAACCGAGGCCTGTGGTCCCCACCGTGCCAGGGAAAAAGGAAAGGGGCCTTTGTGACTTTCCCTTTTTTACCAAAAAAAAAAGTGCTTAAATGGGATCCTTCAGCTCTGTGAATGCAGATGGGGCCCGGTGGACTGGGGAGACAATTAGGCTAGATGCTGAGCCCATAAAGCCAAAAGGGGCAGAACCCCAGACAACAGTGCTGCAGGCTGGGGTGGAGGGGAGGGGGAGCGGATATGACAGCGAGGAAGGGGTTTCAATGTGAATGAATACTAATTAGTGACATGGATATTAATGATGACAGTAATTAACAGGGGAAAGGAAGGGCTGTCATTGTCCCAGGGTGAGTAATCAGTCTTGGCAGGTGATAAATAATGGTTCCGCCAGCTCAGCAGAAAGATAATCCGCCTGCCCTGGGGAGAGCTGTTGCTGATGCTGGAAACCTCTCCGTTTCTAGGCAACCCACAAAAAAGAACTATTTTTCTTTTGAGGAAAAAACAGGTTAGAGTCTCTCCCCCACCCCCAACTTGGGATTACAGTTCTTATTTGATTTCTGCTTTGTTCTTCATTTCCGAGGACAAATGTTGAACTTGTATAATTTGGAGGAAGTGGACCCACGCGCACAAGCACACAGACATGCTCGCCCTTTCTCTCAGAGCCTGAGTGAGTGGGAGCATTTTGATCCAAAGTTTAGCTCATAGATGCCAGCTGGGAGCAAGAGTGGGGAACAGCTTAGAAGTCTCGCTTTTGAGGTTGAGACGCGGGGAGCATGCAGGGACTGTGAAGACTGGTCCTGGGAGGGCGGCACAGAAAGAGTAGGAAGGGACCCCAGCAGCTACCACTCAGGGTGCATTGACCTTCCAGAGAGCCAGAGACAAGCAAATGTCCAGGCACTCGGGCCTGAACTGGTCTCCCCTCTGGCAACCAGTCAAATCTCTGGAAGCTTTATTTCTGGTAAAGGACAATAGTTAAACCCCTCTGCCAGCTCTCCAGTCTTTCAGCTGGGACTCTATCCTAGCAGAACTATCAGCAGCACCCCGCTCCACCCCCCAAGCCTCACCCCCACGCCAGGACTGGGATATCTAGAAATGTTGCCCTTCCTGCTATTTTCCACCACGCATCCCATCCTGAAATGACAAAGCCACCTTCGGAGGTCTGCACTGGTTTAAAGTGAGGTTTTGGGGTGACAGAGGTGGATTAATCAGAAGTTCAGAACCTTCCAGAAAACTGGACTCCTCCATGCCCTAAGAAATATTGGTTCTGAGGACCACATTTTCAAAGGGAGGCAAACAAAAGGGAATTGTAACCAAAATGGTGAAGGAACCAGGGTGTGTCATGCAAGGGAATGGCTGAAGGACAAGGCATGTTTCACCCAGGGTGGGGCAGGGGGGAATCAGGGAGACGCTGATAGTATGTTAGACGAACTGCCCAGATATTTGAAGAACTGTCTCATGAGTGAGAAAGTCTAGGTTTGTTTTTCTAGCATCGGAATGCAAACTAAGGCCAAAGAGAGCAAGTACATAGTCAAGTTTCTGCTCCTAGAAATCAAAGACAGTTTAACTGAGACAGGCTGGCTAGGAGAGAATTTACGAGTTCCGAGGTTCTGGGGTTTTTCTAAATGGGGATTATAGCACCTCCTGTCCAGAGTACTGCAGATGGGGCTCGTGTACTGGCTGGGGTTGGAGTGAATAAGCTTTAAAAGTACCTTCTGACTCTTAAAATTTTAAATTGGTTAACATAATACTAGATGCCAAAACAGGTGAGCCCCAAATTTCTGGGGCTTAATATGACAAACTTTCAATCAGGTCAGAGCCCAAAATGGTCATCAGTTTTCATAGTTGTTCAGAATCCCAGGCTCCTTCCACATTGTGGCCCTGCCCGCCCCTGGGCCCTTGAAGTCCTCTCCAGTGGGCCAGCAGATGGGGGACAAAGAGGTGTATGGGGCTGTGCAGGGTCATGTGGGAGTTTTTACAGTCCAGGTCTAGAGGTGGCATATATCATGCCCACTGTCAGAACTCAGTCCACGCCAAAATGCAGGAGCGCTGGGAAATGTAACCTAGGGGACAGTGAATACATAGACGTGTCTCCCGGAGACACAGGGCTCATTTCTTTCAGGGTGGGCCCATGGCAGAAGAAATTAGAAACTTCTTCAGGAACCTGGTCAGCCCTTGTCAGTAAAGGTAGGCAACTGAGGAGGCCTCTCCCCACAGGAAACAGGCTGAGGGCCAGGTGTGATAAAGCTTCGCCAGCCTGTCTTGGGGAAGTCATCAAAATCTGTCTTCACAGGACATCCCCTACAGATGCTCCCTAGAATGTGGACACAAGACCCTTCGGAGTCATGAGAAGTGGCTGTTTTTGGTAAAGAATGGGATTGTGACTGACAAAGTGAACTGAGGATTTGTTAGGGTACGAAAGCATCTGTATGAGCCACTCTCCGGGTGTGTGCTAATTCAAGTTAGGAGTCTCTTAGGGAATCGTGTTTCTGCTGCCACAGGGTCTTCAGGTGAATTGCTTTATCGTTGCAGGTACTGACATTGTGCAGTGGCTGATGAAGAACCTGTCCATCGAAGACCCAGGTACTTGACCTCCAACCCTGACCCCCCCC